CTACTGAAAAGTGAATGTCTGAAGAAATCCGAAGGTGGGCCAGCATTTTCTGGTTTCGGTATTTGATTTGGTCCAGAACGTCGTGCCGGTTCGCTCACCTCTGACGGAAAACGCGTGTGCTCTAGCTGGAGACTATATTTGACCTCAGCTACTTACAAACCTGCTTAGCTACTGTAAACGGACATCTTTAATGCATATCTTTCTTAGTCCCTCGATATAAGTGTTAGTGGAGCGTGGTCCGTTGTTTGTTTTACGACAGTGGAATTCATCCTTAATTTCTTGCTTGAGAAAAAGCTAAGGTCAGTTGATTTCCTTTTTACCTGTCCATTTTTTGCCGTCTGCTGTCACATAACAGTGCGATTTCGTCCTGTTGAAAAACAGAAATAAGATTAAATGATTAAGAAGTACCGATATCTTGATTGGCTTGAAAAAAAAAAATTTCTCCTTTGTGAGGTGCTAATTTCTTCTGACAATTTATTTTTTTCCAAATTTTTACAATTTTCTCTTACCTTGATTTTTCAGTGTTACAGACAAACAGACGATTGAATTGTGCGTCGACAAGGAAGGCTCTGGAATAAACTACTGGTCTATCTGTAAAGGCAAAAAAAAACAACGTTGCTTAATTATGACGAAACTATCTGTTTATTCATTAACTAAATATTCGTTCGCCCACCATTCATTCACTCACCCACTCACTCACTCACTCACTCACTCACTCATTTCACCTAATATTAATAAAATGTCTCTAATAGCTGCTTAAACCGTTCACTTCATTTCTAACTTCTAAAGGCAGTCCGTTCCATACCCTCGGGGCTGCTCATAGCAATATACATTGCACCGTCATCTGATCGCAAGCTCTAGCCAGATTGTTCCTTGACATACATTAGATCACATGTTGTATCACATAGCATTAAACGTGCTTGTGTGCGCGCGCTGATTGCGTGTCGATGTATGCGTTTAATGTTAATCTGGAACCCAGTTGCCTCACTGCCAAGCGTCAAATTAAGTGAGACCACTGGGGCCCGTTTCTCGAAGTCTCAAAAAGTTTTCGCACACGGAAAGCCATAACAAAATTTCAAACTTTATGATTACAGAGCTGTTTTATTCACATATTCTTAATATGAACAGAGGTTCCCTTCGTACAAGAAGTTTCAGGCGTATAAGCCCTTCTGTTTTTAGATACAGATTGACCTAAAAACGGCTTTGTGGGCCCGAAATGTTTTTGGGGTTTTCAAGAAACGGGCCCCCGGGTTCGACATTAGTTTAATGTATGCCTTGCATGAATGCATGAATGTGCGTTTTAGGTGAACTTACCACCGGTAAGCTTGCAACTGTATTGTTTGATCTCTACTTCACCCATGGCTATAAACTGGGGCCACTGAATCACACTGCCATCAGGAATGTAACAGTTTCTGTACTGGGCGGCTATGTCCGCATCCGAGAGAACCTTATCCCACAAGTTTACTTCCGCCACTTCACCAGTAAATGCTTTCCAATCCTCAAAGCCATCACCTGCCGTCTCTTGACTTTGACCAAGCACCGCCCAACCACCCGGTTTGACCGTGAAATTTTTATTGTTCTTGACATCTTGGGCTTCGAGCTGACCGTCTTTGTAGACTTTGTATTCACCTTGAACGTTTTCCCACGTTATACAAGCGTGATGCCACCTACCATCTGCGAGTTGAACATATCCTTTGCTTTAAAAAGGAAGAAATAAGATGGCGATTAGAGAATAAGATAAGATGGGTACATAAGTCCTCTTTATTAAAGAACTAGCAGTGAGAGAGGCTCTGAGATCGATCATGATCAATATCGGACACTGCGAGAGGTAACAATGTCCGAGGGCACTCCCTATAACGGCCATATGGAGAGGCTCCGCCCGAAAGGGGTACCGCTTTCAGGTTTCAGGTATATAAAAGGGCAGAGTCCACGAAACGTAAACAGTTAAACTTTGCCAGTATATATATTAAAAATAAAGAAATTAAAATATGGGTCCATTTCAAATGGACCCATATTTTAATTTCTTTATTTTTAATATATATACTGATCGGAGAGAACGGGGGGTGGTGGGGGGGAATATGAACTAAATTGATTAGGGGATGGTGGGAACGGTACAAAGAAGATTTAGTAATTGCAGATAGAAGGTTTAATTGTATGATTTTCAGTACAATTAATTGTAATATAACAGTATATTACAGTATTTATTATTTTTTCTTTATTATTTATTCTAATTACTTTTTTAGCGCACGGCCCCATAAGCTTAAAGCTTATAGTTTTAATCTTTACAGTGAATAAATAAAGTCTTGATTTGATTTGATTTGATCTGATTTGATCTGATTTGATCTGATTTGATCTGATTTGATCTGATTTGATCTGATTTGATCTGATTTGATCTGATTTGATCTGATTTGAT